AAAAAAAAAAAATATTTATATGAAATAGTTAGTAAAAGATATGTTCAATCCGATTTTAATAAAGGTTTTTAGTCAAAAAATACCATTTCAGTAATATAATCATTTACAAGTTCTTCCATTACGTTCACTGTGTCAGGTGCTGGGTCGGGTTCATCTCCAAACCCATACATTAATAAACGTACTAAAATCAAAATTGAACTTTGTTAGATCTAAAATTTACAAGTTTATAAGAATTTTCAAACATTTGGAATGGAATAAACATACAGTCTTTTGTAAATAAACCCTTATTGCCTTTAGGCGGACGTCCTCTTTGTTTGTCTGCCATAACACCAATTTTTTTTAAAAGTATTGACCTAAAAATATTTACCCAAAAATATTTACGACTACTTTAACCAACAAGATCGGTGACATATAAGTGAATTTTGTCCTAGTGTCACGGCGTGACAAATAACGAGTCAGAGAAATTGTGAAAGGATTAAATGCTACTTTCGAACCTTTATTATTATTTACTGTGCTCTCGGAAAATTTCTGAAAGACGTTTCCTTACAAATGATGGTGTTTGTACTTTTTTTAATACATTTCGCATATTTGGGAGTGTAAAGATATATTTATCAAAGTGATAAATGTTCGCAATTCGAAATGAAAAAAAAAAAAATACTGCTGTATTTAAGTATCAAACTCAATTAACTTAAGACATTTTTATTTTTGAAGCTATTGTAACATCTCCAATATATTATAAGACTTGAATTTCATATCATTTAATTAGCGAATTGTTAATCCATCAAAGACAGTTCCAACGTTCTCCTTATCACCATTTTTGGACTTGTCACTTTTCTTTTCACTTTGAAATACCCTCCAAAATTTCAAATTTTCATCGCTTGCTGCCGTGGAAACTACTTGTTTATCGGGACTGATTGCCGAATGCAAAATACGGGATTCATGTGCTGGAATGTCGGCAACTTTATTCAAAGTAGGATAAGACCAAATCGCCATATTATGATTCGGAAATCCATGGGTTGATAAAAGTTCTTTAAAATCTTTGGACCAAATGAGTGAAGTCACTTGAGATCCTGTATCGATAGATTTTACGCGGGCTCCAGAGTTCACATTCCAGAAATGAATATGACGATCATATGAACCTCCACCAGTGGCAAGAAGATGACTTTGCCATGGACACCACGCTAAAGCCTTATTAAGAAAGAGAAAGGTAATATTAACAAAAATATTTCATTAATATGTAAATATATATATATTTTTTCTTTTAAAACAAAATAATACAAATTACATACCTTTACAGCAGCAACATGATTGTTCTTCGTTAATTTTGGAGTACTAGATCTTGAATCCCAGATATTCACTCGATTGTCATTGCCTCCACTTGCCAATTGATCGCCATTGTAGTGCCATTTTAATCCACAAACTTCACTAGTATGGTCAATCAATTCAGCTACCTTATGATGAGCAATCCTGATATCATGATTCCAAATTTGTCCATCTTTACACCCCGAAGAAATAATATGTTTGTTCCATGTTAGCACCCCTACGCGTGCTGTATGTCCCATCATTGATCGAATTTTTTGCTCTTTTAAAACATCCCAGATTTGAATGTCACCATCACTTGTTCCTACAGCTAAATAATCACCATTACCTGACCATGATAAACTAGCAATGTAATCACTTGGACCAGTCCGTTCAAGACTCGTTACATTACCCGTGTCAGCGTTCCAAATATAAACACATTGATCTAATCCAATAGCGACCATGTTCTTTATATTCCAATCTAATAAATTCAAATAATAATCATCCAACAAACCTGGCGCATCAAGGACACGTTCCGGTGATGTCAAGATACGTCTTTTAAATTGAACTGATGCATTTGGTTTTGTTGGACGGTTATACAATTGACGTAAATCTTCTTTCTGACTTGAAGGGGGTTCGGGTTTAAATGCCAAAATACGTTTTTCAAGAGCAACACCACATGCTTCCGCCAATTTTTCCTGATATTCAAATTCATGACTGTTCAAGTATTCCCTTCCAGTCTCTCTTTGGGGAATTTTTAATTGCTCTGATAGATCTCCCATAATTTCATGTACTGGAATGAATCGATCAAGCTAAAGCATGTTTTATTTTATTAATTTATTATTATTATTATTATTATTTATAATTAACGTTAGAAACTTTATAAATATTTCAACGTAAACATGAAAATTTATATGATGGATCCATTATCATAACAACCTGAGGTTTGTTCTTTTTCCCCTTCGATGGAGTAGCTGCACCAGTCCAATCGTTTGCGACCACATCCAATTTTAAAACCTCTCTTTTGATGATACTCTTAGGACTTTTCTTTTTACACGATTTGAATACTTTGGTCAAATCACACTGTGAAACGTTAGAGGTTTTAGGTGACCCGCTAACCGACTTTGCACGATAAGGTGAAGTCAGTCCTGAACGTGTAGGTGTGGTTATACGCGAACGTGGCGACCGTTTTCGAGGTGTTGTTGTTATTGGGAAAGTCGACTGAAGTTGTGGAGGGTTTGAGGTCGCCAGTTTGACAGAATATTTCTGTTTTTGAGGGGGAACGGTAATTTCTTTTTATAAGCTTGCCAACAAAAAAACTACAGGAAATAAATTATTTCTTACGCTGAAAAATAAAAAGAACAGTTTTATGGTTTTGAAAATCTTTTGTTTGTTCTTTTTATCGTTCTGTCAAAAGAAGAAAGTTCGCTTTTAACATATGTCAAAATAGATATGATGGTAAAAGTATAAATAAAAAAGATTTTCATCACAACAAACTATTCAAAATTGTATTGGTAGAATCTCGGATCGGCAATCATTTGTTTTTGTTATATAAAGGATAAAAGTTTCGTAATTTCTGAATTTTCAATAACTCGACTCATGTTGATAAAAAGTGTAAACTATAAATAACATTTTGGTTCCAAAATGATGATCCTTTGACAATCTCGTTGTGTCTTTCATATTAAGGGTTCACAGGTTAATCTTAAATTAATTGTAAGGCCAACGAGATGCTTAGCCTTCATTGAGCCCATAATGTCCTTCAGCGAGATGGCATAAACAAAGTATTGACGATTAGGATTCACCATATTCATAAAATAATATTGTTTGGAGGTTGCAGATTCGGATATATTTGTGGATAAAGTTCCTCATTTCTTCGATGACGTCATCTCTCGCGATGAATTTTTGTGGCAATCGCGAAGTATCTAACACGTGTAGTGCAGTAGATCATAAATAGAAAATGATCGACAATAGATTGCCCTATATAAAGCAATCCCTTTGTCGATCATAAGTGTCGACCATAAAACGATAAACCGTAATAAACCGTAATTATCAAAATGTTTCTACAAATTTAACTTTTCGAATAACACCTTTTCTTACTTGATTTGATTCAATGTTTTTAACAAGCCCAAAAGTTTTTATTTTTTGAACTTTTCCCACATCTTACAATGTAATCAAAATATTTTGAATTCCCAAAGTAAACTAGCCCTAAACAAGCTAACACAGTAGTTGATCATTTTCTAAACTATACTGCGCCTAAAACAGCTGATTAACCGGAAAAACGAGACAATCACAAAAATAAACAATAAAAACTTGTTGATTAAACCTCTTGGGCGTATGAGCTTGAATATTTCGTGAGCAAATGTGAAACTTAAAAGTAAGTATCTATAGTCTATTTCGTATATCATACCTTATTTGTTGACATTTTCGAATCCTTAGAAAATAAAAGATCCAAATTAAATATAAAAAGAACGGTAAACTAATTAAAAAAAAATGGCCATATCACAAGGTAAGCTGTTTATATTTTATTTTCTGATTTTTGAATCCTCATGTCAAATAATGAGAGGTTTAAACTTCCTTAGTAAATTTTCAAATGGTTCACTAAAATTTTTAAAAAAAAGATTCTAAGGTTCCTCCTCCATTACCACCTCGTCGTAATATAGGCACGGGTGAAAATATGGAAGTTTTTAAATTTGGGGAAGACGCCTCCTGCTTGGTTATATGCTTTGATACGTCATAGTCCTGGAGACAATGAACATCAACACGAATTTTATTTATCTGAAGCATTCGACAGCGATTATGAAACCGTACTTTTGTGTCAAAAATGCCACAGTTGGTTTCATTTAACGACCACCGCATCAAACATTTCTGGAGATAATGACCGTATGAACCTAGAACAAGGAAGATGCGTTTCCAATCGTGATACTAACTTACATCACTTACATACAACAACTATGACAAGAACATGTATTTCATCTAATTGTTGTTTGTGCAATTTTTCTGTGAATGTCAAAATTAGTGATCCTTTAATCGATATGGGAATATTTAATGATTTGAGTAAATTAAGGAGACTTTCTTCTTATGCGAATATTGTAAGAACTACCTCCGAATCTGAATTCAAAGCAAGTTTAAACGATGTCATTGATTATATGATAAAAATAGTCGATGATGTACTCAATGATGATATTCTATCTCTAACAAGACACTGCGAAGAATTTCAAGGGAAAGTTGGTTTGGATGAAGCGAGGTTGGTACATCTCTTTATATTTGTTTTGATTGGTGTAGAATTATAAGTTCTTAATAATGATTATGGCTTTCTGACAAATGTTTTTTACCTCTAGCCAGGCTTTTTTCCAAAGACTTGGTTTCCATTTTGAGAATAATTGTCTTAGTCCAACTGAAACTTTAACCAAACATAATATTAAATTAGCAAAAGAAGAGCTAAGAATGATATCTTTCGAGTTGAGTGAGTGACATGTTATTTGTCATATGATATCAATCATGTAATAATTTTAATAACGTATTGATGTTTTGTTTTGATCTATAGATTCATATTTGAAAATGAATGCGAAAAAGCCTTATGAAAAACTAGGCAATATTCTTGGAACGAAATGTAAATAAATTTTATTAGGGGAAAAAAAAATTATAATCATTCCTTTAGCACCATTTTCTAAATTAAGAAAATTCTCTACATGATGATATAATAAAGACAACATTTGTTTCAGCGGTTCTTGTACGAAATTTGACCCTTCGATTGCAATTCGTCCATCACAGGCTAGTTGTTTTTTCTTAGGTTGCATGCCTGATATGGACGACCAAACTTTAATTTGGGCATATAAGTTAGGAATACAAGAATTTCCGGAAAAAACTTCAGAATATTTACAGGCAATATATGATATGTCAAAAGAGAAGAAAAGTGAAGCTCTAGAAGAGTTGGTTGTCACAGAACGATCTTTAGGTAAAGGGTATCGCTTTGTTTATTTATTTTGTAAGATTATTCGACTTAGGATGTTCAATATTCTTAATTATCTGGTTTACGATGAATGTTTATAGGCAAATTTAGTGAAGATGAACTTAAGGATTCTTATAAATGTTTAAACGTGGAGGATTTCTCCGTTTCCGAACAATTTTTAATCGATACTTATAATATATCAGTGATTACCCTTCACATTTACCTTTGTTTGTTCTTTGTTGATTTATTTATTTGTAATTAATTACTTTTTTTTTCTTTCTTTTAAGGTTCTTGAGCAACCTTCTTCAAGAGCAAATTATCGAAATGCCTTAACTATAATTGGAAAGGCTAGAAAAAGTGAAAAATTAATAAATTTTGTAAATGAGGGACAAATAAACGGTGAGGATATTTCCATCTTACTTTACGAATTATTGATATTGATTTCTTTTAAAATAAAAAGAGAATTCTATGAGTAACGGTAATATTGATTTTCTATGGCATATATATTTATTATTTTAGAGGTGCAAATGTTGGATTATTTTTCAGAAATGTAAGTGAAAATTTTGAATAATAAATTAATTTCTTTTCAATATTTCATTTACCGTTAAAACGGAAAAATTGTGATTGATCACATGTGATTTATTATTAGGCCAGTAGGGTTGGACAACATTGGGAACACTTGTTATCTTAATTCTTTGTTACAGGTCTGTATTAACTTGTTCCTTTTGTTGTACCGATATACCGATATGCTTACGTGTTCTGTTTTTTCCTTAGTATTATTTTACAATACGACCATTACGTCAAGCTGTTTTGAAGGATTCATCTAGTGCTGATGGTCATGAACTGGACTGGCAATCTATAACTATTGGTCATAGAAAAGTGTCAAGAGCCGAGGTTGAAAGAGCAAATAAATGTATATATGTTATATGTTCATTCCTCTGGAATTTATTATAACAATTTTTATGGAAATATCTTTAATAATTTGTTTTCTCTTTCTCGCTTAATGAAATCTATAACAGTTGTCGCACTTTTGCGGGGTTTATTTGTAAATTTAATACACTCTCAACAAAAATCTCTCTCCCCAGATATAGATTTGGCATATTTGGCTCTTGTCAATGCCAAAAGTGAGGAAGAAGAAAACAAAGATTCATCGAAATCTCCCATGGATTTATCAAATACTTTATATGATGATAAGATGGCTATCGATGATTCTAGCCCTGGCCCATCATATAAGGATACAGATCATGTTATGTCATCTGAGACGAATGATCACAATTATACTTCTGAAGAAGAGACTGTTGTAATGGAAGGCACTGCAGCTTCAAATGGAGGTGCGATGTCTCCCATTAATAACGAAAGCATGTACCAACCAAATGATGAATCAAATACATCTTATTCCTTAAAGGGAAAGGAGAAAGAAAGTAATCAGACGGACTTATCAACCGATTTATTTAACACTACTAAAGAAGAAAAACTTAGAACAGCTTCAGAAATGTTGTTTGGAAAACAGCAAGATGTCACCGGTATGTAATTTATTAGTTATTTTAATAATTCGTTCGTTAAGAAATTATTGCGACAAGTTTCCTTCTGATGTTGTCTATAGAATGTATGGATAATGTCATGTTCCAACTCGAAGCTGCATTGAAATCATCATTTATGACTGATGAAAATGGCGAAAAGCAAAATATTGTGAAGAGGTGATGGATTTTGCCCTTATATATTTCGTGTATACAGTCAAAGTACTTTATAACTAATATCCCGTTCCTTATAAAACATTTTAATTCTTAAACGATTCGTTATATCATTTCATTTTTGAAAATTCGTTATACATAAAAAAAAAATATCACTATATTGCACTTCGACTGTATACATTTTATAGACATTTTTTTTAATACATTTTTATTTTGTTTAGTTTATTTTATGGTCAAACACGACAGATTCTTCAATACAAAGATCAGAATACGGGTGATCCGGTTAATTTGCGCAAAGAAGAATCATTCAATCATCTGATATCCTTTATTATATTTTATATTTGTTTTAATTTTGAAAAACAAAGGACAAATATTTATTTAATGAAACGAAATAAGGTTCTTTCTTCTTTAACTTATATATAATGTAAACATTGTAGTTGTTGCTGAAGGTCGTGATCTGTATGAGGGATTAGATGTTTATTTTGATACGTCTATGGTGAATTAATTAATTATAATTGTTGACTGGTATTCTTACGATTTGAATTTAATTTTCATACTTTCACGTTCTCCAATTAACTCAGGTTGAGTATGATCGCACTCAAGCGATAAGAGAAGTTACTATTACTAAGGTACCCCCTATATTACAAATTCACGTTCAGGTGAGGTTATTTATTTTGAATCATAATATATATTATAGAAGCAGCTTTCAACTTATTTACCAATGACGTATTGGTCATTCTTGAATATAGCGCGTGCAATTTGATCGAACTACATCCAACATTTATAAATCAAATGCTTATCTTCGATTCGATAAAGTTATTTACCTTGATAGATACTTGGAAAAGAACTACGATGTATTAAAACAAAAACGAATCGAAGCCCACAATTGGAAGCAGGAGATAGACAAAATGCAAGAAGAACTCAAAGATTATGAACAGGATAAGGTAACAAGTAAATTGATAAATAAATAAATAAATATATATAAACGAAGCATTTGTTTCAGGGTTTTATTCAAGTTTACTAAATAT